GAAAATATATTTGCATGAATTCTCATTAATCAACTACTTCCAATCAAACAAAGATGTCATCACTTGTGCTAGCACATCTGTTGTTGACAAAGGAAAAGATATAAATTTTGGCGCTTTATGGGAATCGCCAGAAAACAAATGCCACTAAGAAAAAAACAAAAGAAGAAGTAAAAATAAAATGAAATTGAATAACGAAGAAGAAGAGAAGCACTAAAGTAATACCTCTGTAACTGCATTTTCTAAGAAGAGCCAAGATAATATGACGTGTAGAATCATCTGCTTTTACCAATAGAACTCTAAGAACCATCCTCGGCAGAAATCTTTCCCACCTAACCACCTCAGACGAGCCATCCTTCTTAGTCTCGTTCTTCTCTGTCTCCAACTCCATTTTCATTGCTTCTTCACTGCTCAAAACCACTTCACCCATTCTCATAAACCTTGCTTTTCACCACAAAACAAACACAAATACTAAAAACAATGACCCTAATTTCTTGGTAAAAATAACCATAGAAGCAAATGAATAACAAAAAAATGTTTTGTAAATAGAGTTCAGCAAATGTTCTCTGCAAAGTCTCTCTTAGTAACCAGCAAAAACTGAACAAAATCGCACAGTTAAAATCACATTTGGAGTAAATAAGGTTACAGAAAGAAAACGCCCTGACTTACACCGGTAATCCACGCACGTGATTAAACAATAAATATTTTTCTAGTGAACGAAGATGGAAAACCGTTCACTTATATGGACTCCCGTCTATATTATATGGACGGAGATCCATTTACTACGGACAAACATTCCCAGTTAAAAGACGTCCATCTATAAGTAAAATGAAATAATTTTTTTTATAAAAATTAGGGACTCTTGTCCATATTACATGGACGGGGTCTATTTACTACAGACAAACGTCCCCCAATTAAAAGACGCCCGTCCATAAGTAAAATAAAATAACTTTTTTTTTATAAAAATTAGGGATGGCTATTCATCCGTTATGGATAACCGTCCTTTCATTTTAGATAGACGCCCGCAAATAAGGGATGTCATCTTTAACCAAAATATAAAAATAAAAAAAAATAAAAATTTTGGAGACAGCCATCCATAAATTTAGTACAGAATGGACGCCCGTCCATTATTTTGGTTTTTATACAGTGAGTGCGAGAAACCATGCATGCGAGGCTAAACTGTATGATATTCAAACGACGGTGCCTTTGAAAGAGCACAATAAACTGTAATATCGTCCTTTGAAGCTTGGTACCTAATATGAGCAACACAGCAAAATGCTTAAAATTCTTCAGGTGAAAGTAACCATCATTACCATCACTATTCTTGGGAGCACACAGACAAATATACGGCAAAATAGAACTCACCCAGTAATATAACTACGAGTCAGAAGGTACTCATCAAGTTTCTTCAAACCAGAGGCTGAGTTAAGATCACCGAACACGACTGCCATCTTCAGCAATTGAGGTTTTTTCTGGAACTACAATCATAGAAATCAAAACTTAAGCATTCATTTCCTTTACTCGAACCATAAATTTTGAGAAACTAAAACTTATAGCAACATTAAGCTATCTCCAACAGAAACTATCCTTTTTAGTTGCTTTAAACACTGAAAACTTAGAAAAATTAACCTCAAAAAAAAAAAAACTTTTTAATCAGTAAAATTAATAAAGTGGTACAGAAGATCATAAGAGCTCTTGTCTCTTTGATAACAAATAAACATACAGCAACCTTAACCAGAGGATAAATTATTATTCGAACAAATCTTCAATTGAGTATTGAAAATTTTGATTTTTCATGCAAGTAAAACTAAACCATTGATTAACCGTACTCAAAAGTGATCTGGACTGGAGTCCGTCTCACGACGACGTCTCATGAATGATTTTTCGAAATACATAATGGTCACCATTTGGCCCCAGGTTTACCTCTTTGTCATCATAAATTGGGCTGCCATACATTTTTGATGTTGGCTTTGGAGAGAGTCGCTTGTGGTTCTTCCTGCCACTGAACCAAAAAGGTGGTAAGGGAGAGGCAATTTGGTGTTTGGTCAAGTGCCCAGCATTATCAGACCCCAGCGGACTCTGACCCAAATCAATCCACAATGAGTTGTCTGACGACTCATCTTCACTGAAAACTGGACTTTTCATTACTTCCCCGACAGAGATACTCTCAGTTTCCCTAAATATGGTGCTTGTTCCATCCCTGTCAAAACTATTATCCTGATCCATTTCCGTATCAAATACATCTCTCACCTGAGCAGATGTGAATGCACCAGAAAAGGCTGGCAACTGAGAACCTGGGCGAATCTCAAATGGTTTATCACCATTCACAACAACCTCATTATCTTCAACTCCAGTCAATCTATCCAGATCATCAACAGAATCACTAAGAAGACGAAGAAGAAGAAAAGCGCAGATGGGGAATGAAGACGAAGAAAAAGAGGGGAGATGGGGAACGAAGACGAAGAAGAAGAGGGGCTTGCTATTTTTGTTTAGAATTTTTTTTTTAAAAGAATGGATGGCGTTCCCGTCCGTTCCCCTGTCCATAACCATAATAACGGACGGACGGCCGTCTCCAAAGTTTATTTTTTCCTTTTTTATTTTCATATTTTAGTTATAGATACGTTTTCTTTATTTGTGAATGTCCGTCCAAAATAAAGGGACGAGTTATCCATAATGGATAAATGACTGTCTCTAATTTTTATAAAAAAAAATTATTCTATTCATCCGTAGTAAATGGACCCTGTCCATATAAAATGAACGGGAGTCCATGTAAGTGAATGGCTATCCATATTTGATGGATGACCGTTCACTAGAAAAATATTTATTGTTTCACTACGTATCTGGATTACTGGTGTAAGTTAGGGGGACATATAGGCTGGTACACATTTTCGGTGCAAAAACCCTGGTGTCCATAGCTTTATTGCTCCTTAGAGATTAATTTCAAACCAATTAATGGAATTGCAAAAATAATTTATTTTGTTAAATATTTGTTGCCATTTCATGTTGAAGTTAATACACAATTTTTTGAAATCCAAATTTTCTATCTATCAATCTATTTGAATAAATTTGATAAACTTTAAAAACTACATAAGTTTTGAAATTCATTTATATGATTCAACGGATTTGATTTTCTCATTCCAATTTAAAACAAAAAACATATTGAAATAGAAAAAAGATGACATACATATAATATTATAATTACAATTCAACAATGGAATCGTGGGAGAAAATCAATGACAAAGTAGAAGTAGGAGGTCATCCACATTTTATGTGGAATTTCACCAGAGAGTTTATTAATTTATTGAAATCAGATAAATGCAATGGGGGGAGTTAAATGATATTTTATCGGGTCTATATTGTATATATTGGAAACTATGAGGGATTTTTATAAAATATTTCCCAAATCTATAAGTCATTCAACAGTACCCGCCTTTCCCCCAATTTTGAAATCCCTAACACCATTTTATTTCATTTCGATTTTATTGCGTCGCCTAGATTCCTTCTCTTCCCCGTCGTCGCCGAGCTCCTTTACCGTTGTCTCCTTTCTTTTAGGTCTTCAGCGTCCAGAGATCGCACTTGACATTGAAAAGCTTCAGATGCTGTTGTTGTTCAAAAAGGAAGCGACTATTCTAGTTGAGAGCTCGTTTTTTTATCATAAGAGCCCAGTGGAAGCAGTGAAAAAAGTTGATGTTGTAATTTGCACAATGTCTCGGGTTCATTTATGGAGCCACAACATTTTGTTCCAACTGAAGCTTTGTGGAGGCGATCAAAGAAGCTGGAAATGTTAAGGTACGATTGTTATTTGTTGGTTATCGAGATATGTTCTTGACCTAATAAGTTGTTAGCTTTAGCTGTGGAATTTTTATTGTAATAGAAGCAATTAACATATTCTACGCCATTGAAATTGTATTGCTTCTAATTAAGAATATAATATATTATGATCCGAATTCAATCCCTTTGTTTCTGATTAATTATATGAAAATTTGATTAAAAAATTTATGCCAATGAATGACTAACCTAGATATATTTTATATGCACTTATGGTGTTCTTAAAAGATGTTCTGTAGAATTTATTTGTTCGATAAATAATGATGCAATGTTTTTAGAATTTGTAACCTCTTGCTACTGTAGGATTTATTTGTCATGCTTTTGTGCCAAAGCTTTCTATGCCTTCGACTCATTGTAGGATTGATGCTTTTATGAGAAGTGACTAGAATTGTTGTGCTCGTAAACTTCTTTCTGCGTATACAGAAGGTGAGTCTTTTGATGTGCTTACACTTGAATTTTTTTTTTTTTAAAGAATTGCATCAGCTTATCTTAACTTACTCTGGATGAGTTTTTGAATTGGATCAGCTTATCTTAATTAGTCTGGATGGGATATTTTTGAAGTTTTTGAATTGGATTGTTTTGATTCTTTTTCTGTCATGTATGGTGAAAAAATATTTGTTATCATGTACTTCAAATATTAATTAAGATTTTTTATCTGTTCAGTTTAGGATTACATCTGACAAACATGATGCCTCCATCTTTTTGCTTTTGTTACATAGGACAAAATTCTGATATGAGTTGTTTCTTCAGTTTTAAGTATCTTGAGAGTGCTGTTAGGGGTTAGTTTGTAATTGAGCTCTTCTTCTATGGTGAGTAGTAGAAAACTATAGATTATGATACATAAGACAGGATTATGGTGAGTGCTACAGTTTTGCTTATTTTGAGATAGCTCTGAGGATTCAAGAGTTCAGTTTGTATGGAAGTTTTTGTCTGTGGTGAGTAGTAAAAAAGTGGTGAGATACTAATTAAATTTGAAATAACAGCAGTAGCATTCCAAATGGATTAGAACAACATTTGTGGCTAGATTATTATTGGTAAGTTTCAAAGTTAAAAGCAATAGACTTATTTTAAGCATAGGAGATTTTCAAATCAAATGGTATCAAGTGCCTTTTTTTTTTTTTGTCATGCCTTTAGGTGCGTACTCCATACTATTATTTTTCACTTAGCGGGAAATATTTAAACATTAATATAGTTTTGTGGAATCTGAAGCTTTTATATCTTGCTGAATTTCCTGTACATGTGATCAGGCTAAATTGGTGGTTGTAATGAAACACTTAGATAGTTAATGGAAATCTATGGACTGGTTCACGCATCCAGGTATGTATTTTCAAGTATGTAAGTTGTATCTGCATTAATTACTTGAGCTATTAATATGCGATAGATTTGATTACATAAGTGCCGTATCTTAGAAAGTCCTTATTGGTGATATCGTTGGTGTAAAATGAAGAAAATTGAAACAACATCGCATTGAATTTGTCTTTCATTTGTTTAAAGGTAAGAAGTTTAATGATCAAGGAATTTGGTGTGTTGATACAAGAATTATTGCTGATGCAGTGTTGAAACCCTTGCAGTGTTGTTGATGTAGTATTGATGGGTTTGATATGTATCGCTGATTATGGTCTGACATTACAATCTGGAGGAGAATTAAATCTTGAAGGGTATGTGGATGCTGATTGGGCCAGGATTTTCCATCCTCGTTCTACTGGTGGCTATTGTTTATATCTTGGCTCCAATCTAGTTCAATGGAGTTCCAAGAAACATGTTGTTGTGCTCTCATCCACTGAAGCTGAATATCTGGCACTTGCACAGGCTTCTACTGAGGTTGCGTGGATGTAAAATCTGTTTTAGGAACTCAATATCTCTGTCACTGCCACTCCCATACTTCGGTGTGATAACACTAGTGTTGGTGCACTAGCTTCTAATCCAGTCTTCCATGCTCGCACAAAACACATAGAGATTGATGTTCATTTTGTGCGAGAAATGGTTGCCTCTAAACGTCTGACTGTTCAATATGTCTCTACTGAGTTTCAAACGCTGATCTTCTCACTGAGCCACTCTCCGGTCCTTAGTTTCAGCGGTTACGAGATCATCTCACCATTCTTCCTATTGTAGGTGTTTCTACTTCCCTCTTCTTTTAATCCTGATGAGTCTTCTTTGTCCTCCTCAAATGCAAGTTCAGTCTGAGGGATGATGTTATCAGTCATCCAGAACTTGCTTTGAGGGACGACAAGAAGTTTAATGATTAATAAGAAGTTTAAGTAAGGAATTTGGTGTGTTGATACAAGAATTGTTGCTGATGTAGTGTTGAAACACTTGCAGTGTTGTTGATGTAGTATTGTTGGGTTTGATATGTGTTGCTGATGTAGTGTTGAAATGCTTGAAGTGTTGTTGATGTAGTATTGATGGGTTTGATATGGATTATGATGTAGTGTTGAAATGCTTGAAGTGTTGTTGATGTAGTATTGATGGGTGTGATATGTGATTGCGGATATAGTGTTGAAATGCTTGAAGTGTTGTTGATGTAGTATTGATGTGTTGATATGTGATTACTGATGTAGTGTTGAATGCTTGAAGTGTTGTTGATGTATATTGATGGGTCTGATATGTGATTACTGAGTAGTGTTGAAACTTGAAGTGTTGTGATGTAGTATGGAGTCTGATATGTGATTCTGATGCAGTTGTTAGTGTGTTGATAAGAAGATTGAAGTCTTGTGGTGTATGTATAGAAATTGAAGTATTTGTGTTTAATTGCTACTGCAATTTGGTATTTTTGATAAGAGTTGAAGGATTGATTAAGGAGATTGAGTTCTGTGGTATGTTGATAGAAGTTAAAGTATTGGTGAACCTGATGTGTATTGCTACTGCAGTGTTGGTGTTTTTTTTTTATAAGAGTTGAAGAGTTGATTTTTTTTTAATGTGGTTGGTATTACTGATGTGTTTAGTATTTTGTTATAGAAACTGAAGTACTGGTATTTTTGTGATGGAAGTGTTGGTGTCTTTCTTTGGCTAAGTCTGAACAATTTAAGTTTGCTTGAGGGACGTTTTAAGGCCATGAGCAAGCTGCACTCAAAATTAATCCAAAGAGGACTAATGCTGCTGTTAGTAAAAGGGAACTGACGTTAAAGAAATGAAGCCTTTGTTTTTGTACTCTGTTAATTGGCAAACTTTGGTTAAAAGAAGTTGTTCTGACTTCAGAAGGAAGAGTTCGGTTGTAAGTAAATAGTGCAGAAATGCAGTTGATCCACGACAATCTTTTTTCTATTGTGTTAGTTTTCTGTACAATCAACGATCAAGATCCTTTTTCACTTGGATCACATCTTTGTACATAGAAGGCTGTTTTTATGTTGAATGAAGTAAGAAGAAGATTCTCTGTTTTTAATTGATAGTGTATGTTCTTCTCTTTTGATTCCTAGGGTTTGGTTACTACAATTCAGAATAAATCTTCACAAAGGGGGTTGTGAGTCTTACGGTAGTACTTCTTCTGTTGCATATTTCTACCACTTGGTTTCGGTTTGTTAGCTGCTCAACCTGGAAAAAATTCAGTTTGTATATCATATCAATTTGGCAGGGTTAAAGGTAATTGTAGTTGTGAAATTTTATTTTCTACACATCAAAGAAGAGTTTGATGTAAAGCTTGATTTTGGCTTTAATAATTCAAATGTGACATAAAAGTATATTGGTTTTTCCTCATGCCAAATACTTTTTTGTCTGGAAGTACTATATTTTTAAATATTTTATTTTTGCAGGTTACTATCATTTGGAAATGCAGCAGTTGGGCTTTTATCCTTATGCTCATGTGAAGTGTATTTTACTGTACCCGAGGTGATTGGTTTCCCCATGACTGATATTTTCAAGGCTGAGCATACACAAGCGAAATAATACTGATGTGATGACAAATTTATGAACCCAACAGAGTCCCGATTGCCTTGATGCTGTACAACTTCTTCTTGTACCAACTATCTTCAAGATTGTCAAATGAAACACTTGGTTAGTTTTCTCTCGTGTTTTTGTAATCAATTGTGTTTTTCTTTAAATCCAAGTTATTACATACAGATTATTAAAATCAACTTGGTTTGATATTAACCCAATGACTTAGAAAAAGTAAATTAAAATCAGCATGGTGGAGATTGCAGTGAGCTTCATTCCAGAGAGTTTGAGTTCTTTGCTTTTCCAAGAAAGAAAGCTGTTCAAAGGTGAGTATCTATTTGAAGTAATGTTTTATTTGAGAAAAAGCCAAGATGAGTCCAGTAGTACAGAAGTGGATTCAAATCCTTGTATGGTTTGATATTCAATTATTATGTAACGAAGAGCAATAAATTGATCATTAACATTATTAGAAATAATAAATTCGGGTTGATTGGCTAAGTTTTTATACCATGGATAATTCATTATATTTTGATTTTCTTCAGTTTATCAGCTGTAAAAAATAATATTATATCTTGTTTGCACAAAAGAATACGATAATATTAACAAAATTTTTATTGTGGAATTCACTAAAGAGTAACCACTTTAAACCTCTTTGTTTGACTCTTTTCATATGCTTTATAAAATAAAGATTATTTCTAAAATTTGTTTGTAAAATTAAATCAATTGTTTTGTGTCTCAATACTTCTTATTTATAAATAAAAAACAAAAAAATCATTTAAAATGTGAAGTGACGAAGAAAGATAATATCAACAGTGAATTTTCCATGAACTAGGAAATTACTGTTTCGGATATCATATTGATATGTTTTCTAATTAACATATATAGTACTAGAGAAATTTATCATAAATTTAATTGAAGAAGTGTTGGAAATACGCTTAGTGAATAATTCGAATTAAAATAGAAAATTAACAATAAGAAAATTAAGGGTACATATAATGCAAGGATATATTTTGATAAGGAAGAATAAAGCTTGTAAAATTGTTATGAGAAAGATCCATAAGACGTAATTGGTCTAACTCGCACAATTGCAGAGACAGTTCACCTTCCAAACTTTTCTTCGCCAAGATGAAGTAACGTAATTGAGAAAGCCTGCCAATCCAGTTTGAAAGGTTACCAGTGAAGAAATTATACCTAAGATCTAATGTCTCCAAAGAAAGGCTATAATAAAACGTATCATTGAGTTGTCCTTCTTGTTTATTTCTTGACAGGTGAACTTGTTGGATTTTAAAAGGTTGTAACAAGATGGTAAATACCTCGATATTAATAGTTTTTTAAAGGTCCAAAATTTCAAGAAAATTAAGTTTACAAAACTCCATTGGAATTGGACCTTCAAGATAGTTACTGGGCATTATAAAATCTACCAATTCTGCCATGTTTTCCAACCACCCTGACTTTACCACTAAAATGGTTGTCGCCAAGATGCAATCCTTCCAAAGAGCAATTAGACAAACTTTCTGGGATATTTCCGGTCAAGTTATTTTTATCCAATTGTAACCTCATCAAGTTTGTCAGATTAAAATTTTTAGTGAATAAGTGACCTTCCAAACTGTTGTTTGATAACGATAGCAGCTGCAATGAGAAGCAACCCATGACTTTCCAATGAGTTCATGTCACCAACAGAAGATGGAATGCTACGGTTAAACACATTTCTAGTTTATGATGTTCTCTAACAACCAATTCGGAAATTCTCCCTTTAAATTTATGTGAGAGAGATCAACTTCATCCAAGTCATATTGATGATAAAGAAATTTGGGAAATGTGCCACCATCTCCATAACCACCCAACATGAAGGAATTTATTTGGAATCGTGGTGCCAAAGAATGAGACTCAATTTCTTTATATATTTGGTTATTCTTACCATAGAACTTCTTGCGTTTCCAATGGTTGAAAAAAGGTTCAAGTGAAATTGGGATTTTGAAGTTATTGTATGACAGGAAAAGATATTGGATGGATATTAGATGTTTAAGGGCTGATAAGGAGATGCTTTCATTAATCCAATAGTTGAAGAGAAGTCAAATTCGCAGAGCACCAAGGCAAGGTACCCCTTAGGTCATTATTGTTCATATACAGCTCTTTTAGTTGCTTCAGCTTGCATAGACCTAAAAATACAATAAAACCTTTATTGACTAATGAATATAGAACCAAAATCATAAATTTATGTTGATGATAGCGGATAAAATAATTAATTACCTAGGTTGGGCAGTGTACCTGTGAGTCCACAAGTAGACAAAGATAAAATCTCAAGAGCAGCCATGGGTGTAATCATTTGGAAAAAGCTAATGTTGAATAAAAATNAAAAAAAAAAAAGTAACAAAATGTTATATTATAATCAATATTTGACATATTTTTTTGTGAAACAATAGTCGTTTACAATTTCTTAAAATATAAAAATTCGATAATAAAATAAAAGCAATATAATAAATAAACCCGTGCAACGTGCGGGTGTGCCATCTAGTTATTATATAATGACATAATGGTTATATATAATTGCATTAATAAATATAAGGATAAATTAGTAAATACACATATAAATTTTCTGTTTGGATTAATTAAATTATAAAAACAATCACAACTTCATTTTTTCTTTCTTTCAAATCATTCTCTATTTTACAATTTAAAAACCTAAAAATAGAACTAGTCTGTTTATTTGAAAATCAAGATTTAGAAGAATTTTTTTTTATAAAAAAAATTGAACTCAAAATTTAATTTTGGAAATTTAAAAAAATAATATACAGAACACAATAAATCTTTTTTTCCCAACAATTTTTAGTCAATAATGTCAAAAGTCATTAACATGAAAAAAATATTTTTCATTTTTATTTTAAAAAAATTATAAAAATAATTTTACAAAACTATTCTCCATACTTCTTTATATAAGAGTCTCACAAAAGTTAAAAGTCTCCTAATTAAAAGCTTTGAGACTGACAAATTGGTCAATCTCATTATAGCTCATGTCCAACTTTTTCAAAGAATGTAACCCAAGGAGAAGATTAACAATTTCAAAGGCTAAATTCTTTCATATATATAATTTTGAGTATAAAGATTTATGAATATTATCAAAAAAATTAGAAATTTACTAGCCATAGTATAAAGATTTATGAAATACAATTTTTTTCTTTTATAAAAAGAACTAGTATTAACCTCAAGAATTATATTTTTCTAATTAACTTTAGTAACGCTTTGGTCTTAATGGTTTCTAGTAATTAACTTTAGTCTTTCTTTCATAAAAAATAATTCTATTTTTCAAATTTAGAAAAATAAAATTGTTTGCTCGACAGTTTGAAAATCAAGATTCAGAATTTTTTTTTTTTTTTTAAAAAAAAAAAGAAAATTAAACTCAAGATTTAAGTTTCATAATTTTCAAAATAATATTTATAGTACTTACAAAATATTTTTTTTTTTTTAAATTACCCTACATTTTCAAGTTAAAATTGTCAAATGCATTTTATTTTAAAGATAATACTAAATATTCAAATTATACCTATTTCATTAATATGAAAACTGTTTTCAAATACACAATAGAATAATTGATTTTTCATTTTAATTTTAGAAAATGATAATGTAAAAATAATTTTACATAGTTGTGGGCATTACT